TATTTCTACTGTAGGTTGCGCATGTTCACTTTTCTTTCTGGTGCTCACTTGTGTGACAATCTTAGCCTGTTGGAAAAAGTTGAGAAGTTTTCGGATAACAATGTTACTGCATTTGTTTGCTGCCATTTCGGTTTCTTGTCTTCTAATTATTATAGCTGGAAAAGCAGAAAGACCAAAGGTAAATATCAAATGTGTTTCGATACTCGTTTTTAAAAAAACTGTGTCTATACTTCTGTACTTCTGTTCAGTAATAGATCAAATATGAGATAGAAATGAAGTAAGAACAGAAAGGAGGCAAAGGGGCGCACCCGTGTGTAATGGATTTTCGTAATTCATCTGAGTTTTCTGTGATCTAATACAAAACAGAGGCATGGCAGCATGGAATTGTTCAATATAAGGAAGTAGAACAGTCTTAATTGTGACGTCATCTGTGCTTCTCTCCTTTAACAGATTATGGAAAAGATCCGATCAAAATTCATGCTTAATTTTACGTGTCATATAATATTTTTCATATATTCTAGATTTATTTTACATTCACAGGAGTTATGCACAACAGCCGCAGTGTTACTCCATTATTCCCTCCTGTCTGTATTTTTCTGGATGCTATGTCATGGTGTTATGTTGTACTTCCTGATATTAAAGGCTGAACGGCAAGAAATTCTGGCATTGAAACAGAAATGGTTCTACGCTCTAGGATGGGGTAAGAGCAACACTCCTTGAACAAGTACATTTTCATCCTCATATGCATTGGACGTTTTTAAGCACGAAAATATAACGCCTCATTTAAAAAGGTCAGAAAATTTGGTAGTTGCTTTTCTTAATACTTAATTCATCTCTGGCTGTTCCAGGTGTTCCAGTCCTAATAGTGGCCATTTCTCTGACAGTAACTGGAATCAAGTCCTATGCAGCAAATAACTGTTGGCTTACAACAGAACATTGGCTCATTTATTGGGCGTTTGTTGCTCCAGTTGCCGTAATCCTATTAGTAAGTATACTCTTTTAACAATGGCGCTCCTTCTATGGTGTAAGATATATTTTATGCAGACACCGTTTAATATGTGAGGTATCGCACCGGAGGATTTTTTCGAACAAATATCTGATCATATTTTTTGGCTTAATCAAAACTGTTTTTTTTTAATGTCATCATAGTTAAAAGGTTTATCGGAGTTGAGAAAATCTTAGGAATAAAAGGAACGGTAAACTACGTATACACCTGTAGTACTAAGGGCAAAACACTCGTAAGCAGAGACAAGAAGCAGGATTTCTATTTGTTTTTCTTTGTTTTGGTTTTTTTCTATCTTTTCTTCTTTTATCAATCTTTTTGTGAATTTTTACCTCTAGATCAACTCAATTCTGTTAATTTTCTTGCTCCGTCGGGTACTGAGAGCGACTAAAACCAAAAACAACAAAACACCTGCCAAGCACGTGAAGGATTGGTTGAGACGTTTTGCAATGCTACTGCCAGTTCTGGGTGTCACGTGGTCGTTTGGTTTTCTCACGTTCATTACATCAACAGCTGTGTTTCATTACATATTCACCATATTGAATTCGTTCCAAGGACTTTTCATATTTGTGAGCTTCTGCATTCTAGACGATTCGGTAAGTCTCTATTTTTTTTTCATAAGCTCCGAAAGACCAAGAATTGTTCCCTATTATTTTCCTTGTACATATATAGTATTTATATTGTGTAGACTTTTGAAATTACGTGAAATAGCTAAGCGAAAGAAAACTCATTGTATTCAAAAGCAAGCGGTCTGAAGCTCAGAAGTAGGGCAAATGGGGAAGAATTTGCATGAATATAGTTTTACATTTACATTACAAACGTCGCTTTACTATGAAGTTACAGTACCATGTAAAGTAGAATGTATGAATTCCTGAGGTACTTTTGGTTTGCTACTTGTTGTTTCAAATTGGCTACCTCAGTTTTATCCTGCGAGCAGTTAGTTTTTTTATCCCCAAACGGCAGGTTAACCTCAATTTGCTTATTACAGACTTAAACGCAGGAAAATTTATGATCGGCGAGATGGATCAAGTGACGAACTTCTTTGAATTAAATTTTCATTAGGTTAAAAAATCTATTGAGAGTATTTTGTGTGAGAAGATGAATACCACGAAGAGAGACACAAGAGAAGGAAACACCGTTTTCAGGAGTAAATAAAGGTAAGAATTGATTAAATAGAATTAAGTTAAATGTTTGAGTTGATTGTTAGACTATATTTCAAGAAACTATGCATCTTACCTGTGGTAAATGACTGATGCGATGGCAAACAAATGGACGTGCTTGCCTGTA